ATAGTCTTTTGTGCTGGTGTACTCTGTAATTAGCGTTTGTAAAGTCGGCTTTGTTGATTGGCTTGTGGTGAACACGTTAGCCTCTACCTGCAGCGAATAACAGGATGCCCGGCGTTGTGTGTAGTGCTGACCAGGGGAAGCTCGCATTCTGTACAGTCAGCCAACATCCAGAGGTATGCTGACGGGAGCATTGTGGAGCCCGGCAGGGTCGGCTAACGAGCGGCGATATCAGCTGACACGGCCGCGACCCGAGCAGGCCTGGCCGGCTGATCGTGTGAGGGACGTCACAGGCCAGTGACCGGCGGGCCTGTGGCCCAGCTGGGCGTGCGGAGGACATGGACAGATCCGTGACGTCATAGACGTGTGACGTCAGCAGGACTGTTGCTCGCTCGCCGCCGGGCGGCGTGTTTTGTGCGCGAGGCCATTAGGGCGGGTCTGTCAGGTGATTTATCGGCGATAAACTCTGAACAACCGCAGTTGGATGGCGCCACAAAAACTGGGCGTCGGCCGCCGCTCGGACCACCGGGTCACGCCGCTCCTCTCGCTGGCCGGCCGTGTACCGGGCGAGAGAGGAAACACCCTGGTCACGCCGCTCTTCTCGCTGGCCGGCCGTGTACCGGGGGAGAGAGGAAACACCCTGGTCACGCCGCTCTTCTCGCTGGCCGGCCGTGTACCGGGCGAGAGAGGAAACACCCGGGTTCCGCCGCTCCTCTCGCTGGCCAGCCTCACGCGGCCGTGTACGGGTGAAGGAACGAACCGCCGGGCGGACTGAACTGACGCTCCAACGCAGACCGTGTGGAGAGGCCGTCGTAAAAGCAGTGACGGAGCGTAATGACGAAAAATAACTGCAGTGGGTTGTTGTTGAGATGATTTTTGACGCCGTAACCGGCATGCAGCAAACTTCCCAAGTCTGGTGTTGCCCAAATGACCACTTGTATGGGCATATAACCCATAATGACTTTTCGGGATGCATGGTTGGGAAATTCCGGAAGCGATGGTCTCACTTTCTGAAAAGCCCTAATTGCATCGTCAGGGCATGCGGTGGCACCTACAGTTCACGAGAACAGGCTTACCCCTGTGGAAATGCTCAGCTGTCGCGGGTTTGCGTCTCAGTTATGGCGAGGGGCCCCCGGGGCTGCACGTCGTGTACCGACCGGGGGTGGCCTCGCCTCAGCCCAGCGGTGTCAACAGCTGACTGGTGCCAGTCGGGCGTGAGCGGAGACGGCCGTTCCCGGGCACACCACACCGCACCGCACTGCACCGCGGTCAGGTCAGTACGCCACTGCCATCCGATCAGCACGCCACCGCCGGCCGTGTCACGCCGCACGCGCCCCACGCACCAGCGATGCCTGCAGGGCGGGCCATGTCGCTTCTCGTGGCCACACCGCCTGTTGCGGGGTGCAGACCACGAGGGCTGAGACACAGAGCAGTATCCGTGACAGTTTCTGCTGTGTGACCCAGACACAGAGTAGCGTGTCTTGGCGTGCAGTGTACGTATACCAGGACGCCGCTGTAGCGAACTCCGTTGGGAGAGGTGCACCTCATCCCAAATACAGTGAGCGCACCCGGAGAGTTCGGCCTTCCGCACCCGGAGAGTTCGGCCTTCCGCATCGGCCGCGGGCGGCCTCGCGACACGGCGTGGTCTGGTGTGCTGTCCCGGGCCGGGGCCGGGCCGGGTGCCCTCAGCCGCCGCCGGGGCCGGGGCCGGGGCCGGGCCGTGCCCTCAGCCGCCGCCGGGGCCGGGGCCGGGGCCGGGCCGGGTGCCCTCAGCCCCGCCGGGGCCGGGGCCGGTCCGGGTGCCCTCAGCCGCCGCCGGGGCCGGGGCCGGGCCGGCCGGCCCTCAGCCGCCGCCGGGGCCGGGCCGGGTGGGTGCCCTCAGCCGCCGCCGGGGCCGGGGCCGGCCGGGTGCCCTCAGCCGCCGCCGGGGCCGGGCCGGGCCGGGTGCCCTCAGCCGCCGCCGGGGCCGGGCCGGGCCGGGTGCCCTTACCGCCGCCGGGCCGCGTCACTGAGCGCTGATACCGCGACTGACGCGGCCGGACCGCGACAACCCGGTCGAGGATCATCAAACGGCGGCTGGCCGTAGACAAAGGCGGCCGGGCGGGACATGAATCACCTGACGAGGGTGGTGTCGAAGCGGCGAAGAGCGCACCGCCCTTCGACCGCGCCGGCGCGGACGCGCACTGATCGGTGACGCGTTCGCTGCGAGTTGCTATGCTGGGACATAGTGTTGCTAATTAGCGCCCGGTCTATTTCGTGTTCGGCGTTGCCAGGTGCGGTGGAGTGATGGAAAGCCGCCGGGCAGAGGACGAATCTAGTGCCAACCGTTTTCGTTTTTCATGGCTTTGTTTTGCCCTCTGCCGACCCAGAGCTCGAAGCAGCACTAAAAACGGTTCGTTCCCGCCACGGTCCAGCGAAAATAACCACCTGCCCATATAGTGTGACGCACACGGTCTGCAGCAAAAAACGAGGTCGTCGGCGGGAGTTGGCGTCGGTTGCCGGCGGCGCCGACGTGTTCGGTCGTTCGTCGACGGATGCCGCGCCGAGCCGCGGAGAAGGGGGGAAGCAGTCAGCACGAGCTTCGCGTTGGTCATGAGCGGACGGCGAGGCTCGCTGTGACCCGGTCATGTCCTGACCCCGGGGACAGCACCGACGGCCGGCTCGGCCGGGACGTGCCGACTCCGACCGGGCCTGCGCCGGCATGGTGCCGGCCCGGCAGCGGTGCCATGGCCATACCACGCCGTGTCCGTTGCATCGCTGCGTCTGGCCAGTGCTTATTTGATCCGCGTGCCCTTGCTGATCGAACGGGTTGCATGCATGACCTCTGGGGGCGGGGTTCGTGGTAAGTAGAGCTGGTTACGTGTACCTTGGACCCACCGCCGAGGCAGCGCGGTTCTGCCGGGGCGTGTAGTGACGCGTGCGGCGTTTTTAGCCAGACAGGCCCGCGGAGCGTCGGGCCGCCCAGTGTCCAACGCGAGCGGATTGCAGAGGCCGCCGCGCCGCGCCGACCCCGGTCCGGCGGCGGCAGCAGTGGCGGCGCCCGCAGCAGCCCTGCGGCGGCCTCCCCAGCGCCGGCCCGGCGCCCCACCCGGCCGCCGCCTCTGCCCATCCATCACCGCTCAAGCGCTATTAGTTACTGGACGCGCGATCCATCACGGGCGGGCGGCGCTTTCCATTGGCTGATCGTAATAATAGGATTGCGGCGGCCACTCTGCGGGCTGCGATGAGTTGCTGCTCGCGGAGCGGGCGCTCTGCACGGGGGCGGTCCGACCCCGGCAGCCTGGGCCGACACCAGCGCCGCGCGGCTGACCCCCCCCCCCCCTTCCCCACCCGAGAGGCATCTCGCGGATTTCGTCGGGCTCGGGGCTCTGGTGCGCGAACGGCGTCGGCGAGAGCTGGAATTTGTGCGCGGCGATTTGGCGTGGAGGCGGTTTTTGTGTCATTCATGTGGTCGCGGCTATGGTGGCGTGTTGTGAGATTTGAATAAGGAGCTGATTGCTTTGCCGCGCCAGTGACAGCTTTCAACCGTTGGTTTAACGTAGGGTTTAAAGGCGAGTTAATCAATCAGCTGCTCCAAACTGGTTTGTGTGGTCTGTGCGGTCTTCCGACTCAGTACCGTGCACGAGCGAAAGTACCTGCTTTACCAGGGAAGCCGTATGCGTGGGATGACCGGTGTTTTTGTGCGTGCTCATGGTTGGTCCCGTTTGCGTTTTGCGTGGAATGTTTGCGTCGTATGCGCGTAATGTGATCCCAGTCACGTTAAGACTTAATCGAATCGGCAGCGTGACTTTGCCGCGCAGTCCCACCACGCCGTGTCAAACCGTACACAGCTGGCACACGTCGGCGAGCCCCGGCGGGCCGTCGTGGCCCCGGGCGGTCGCGCGCGGCGCGTTCCCGCGCACCGGCACCGGCTCCTGAGGTCGGCCGGTCTCTGTGCTCTCCGGCAGGCGAGCGCACCTGCGGCGGTGCCTGGAGCGGCTGCGGGACCAGGTACCGCCCGGCCCCGACGCCAGCCGCCACACCACGCTTGGCCTGCTCACGCGCGCCAGGGACTACATCCGGGTACGTCGGCGCCGCCGCCCGCTCAGCCTCGCCCGACGCCGGGCTCGGCGAGGGGCCCGCCGCCGCAGGGCAGTGGCTGGGATGGCCGCCTCTGGGCCGGTCCACTGCCGCTGACGGACCCACAGCTGTAGCTGTGTCTCTGAACTGGACCTCTTTTTTCAGATCACTGCTTTGTCCCAGACCCATGTCTCTTTACTCTGTACTGGACCATTGTCTCTGTACCGGCCGTCTGGCGCTTTACGGACCTCCTCTCTGTACCAGACTTATGTCTCATTACATACCCCCTGTTGCTGTACCGGACCTCTTTCTCCTTGCAAACCCGTCTCTGCACCAGACTTCTGTTTCTGTACCAGGCCCCTGCCTCTGTACCAGGTCCCTGTCTCTGTACCAGTCCCTCGTCTCCGTACCAGGCTCTTGTCCCTGTACCATACCCCCGTCTCCGTACCGGACACCTGTCTCTGTACCAGACCCCTGGCTCTTCACGGGCCCCTCCCTGTGCCTGGCCAATGTCCGCGAATCCCGGCCTCTGTACCAGGCCCCTGTCACTGTACCAGGACCTTGTCTCTGTGCCAGGCCCCTGTCTCTGTACTAGGCCCCTGTCTCTGTATCAGGCCCTTGTTTCTGTACCAGGACCTTGTCTCTGTACGGGCCCCTATCTCTGCACCAGAACCATGTGTATTCGGATTCTAGCGTAGTCTACCGGCGCCGTCGACCGACCGTACCGGCCAGCTGGCGTTGATCTGGAGGGCAAACAGTGGGCGACAAACACGACACTGGGATTGGGCTGGCGTCGCCCCCGGCTGGCCCCACTCTGTGGCGAGCCGGGTCCCACGCATCGGAGCGCCGACCTCACTCAGCGGCCGGAGCTAACTCGCTCGGCGGCGCGGTGACCGCGCTGTGCGATTGACACCGGTTGGCAGTCGGTCCGTCGCCGTCGCAGTCTCGCGGTGTGTGTGGGTTGGCCACCGGTCCGCGGTGCTGAGCTTCAGCTGACGGCCGTGTATGCATCCGGCAGTCCCTGGAGGACAAGGACCGGATGAACCACCGCTGCAAGCGGCAGCTGCGCCGGCAGCAGCGGCGGCTGGCCAGCCAGCTGCTGGACCGGCGGCGGCCGGTCGAGCCGCCGCGCCAACCCAGCATCTCGTCTTCCGGCTACTCAGCCTCCGAGCTCTCCGAGTCGGCCGAGTCGCCCGACTCCGGTGAGTCAGCGGACGAGCTGCACCACCCTGATGAGTCATCCGGCGAGTCGTGCGACTCCGGTATGTCCGCCGTCGTGTGGCGCCGCGTGTGTTTAGAGTAGCTGCCGAGTCGTGCCGGTGTTGTTTGTGGCGTCTCTGGCTGCGGGTGATGTGGATGTGGATGGTACTTTGCGGTCGGTACGTCTGTTTCGGTGGACCTGCCTCATCAGGTAGGCCGGTTTTAGACGGTGCCAGGGTACGTGGCTTGTTCCCCTGCAAACGACGGACGCTGAGCACCGCATAGCCACGCAGCGGGCGCGCGGCCCTCAAACCCAGGTCGTCGTGAAGACTGACAGCTGTGGCTGAGGGCACGCGGTCTGTCGCGTCACGTGACCTCTGCCAGACGGGCTGGAGTTGACCTGAGCCGCCGACCTGCCGCAGACGGGCTGGAGGTCATCAACAGCGAAGCGGCCAGTGGGGCGGTCGGCGCCGCCCATATGACCTTCAACACGCTGGAGTTCCTCGGCATCGGTGGCATGCACGCACAGGCCAACTGTGAGCCAATGCAAGCCTAGGTGCGTGTTCACGTTCCGCTCTGGCTATGGACCTCCGTGCGGGGAAGGGCAATGCACTGGAGAGGCGGTGGAGGGGAGCTTTGAAATCCCTTTGTGGGTCAGATGACGTCTTCCCTGAATGTTATCTCGAATGCGGTGCTGTCATTGGCTGCATATGCCGCCCGTCGGGCCTTGGCACCCACTACCGAGCAGTGAGCTGCTGGCTGCGGTCCTGCCGTTGGCCCGCCTGACAGAGCTGGGGCCGCCAGCGCCGGTCCCTCCGCAGCCCGCGCGGCTGGGCCGGGCGGCACCGCCGCCGTCCGCGGCGTGGCCACCCGCCTCGAACCGGCGTGGAAGCTGGAGTCGCGTCTGCACACGTGGTGCAGCCAAGCATGGCGCCTAAGCCGCCGGCCTCCGCCAGACCGAGCGGCGGTGGCGCCATCTCTCCGACAGCCATCTAACCGCTGTCTCCGTCCGTCTCCGCAGCTGCGGTCGGTCGTCACGCCCGCTGTGCAGTCAGCGGAGGCGGCCGCGCCGTCCGGTCCAGTAGCGCAAGACTTCACGCAGGCCCCCGCCTGGGGCCCGCCGCTGGCGCGCGAGAAACGAACGTCTGTCTTCGGTAGGGATAACCAGTACAAAACTTGTCATTGCTGTAGAGCCGGTCTCGGGCCCCGTGCCGGCTTCGTTTGTCGACCGTACCCGGACAGTGCCCGGAGCCGTCGAAGGAATGTCCAGTGATCAGCGTCTGTCCGCTCCGTTTACCCAAAGGCCAGTCAGTTTACCGAGGGGTCCGTGCCGTTATGAGGGCGCCGCCCCGACCGCTGTGGGAAGCTATTTCCGACGCCCGCCTTCGCCGTTGATTGGTCGGCGAGGCGCAGCAACAGGCTGATGGTTGCGTGCTGGTGTATAGCTTTATTTATTAGCATAAAATGCGCGACCTCCCCTATCGGCTTGGTTTTAGTGATACGGCCAGTGACATGAACAGTGGACGCAAGCGTCCTTCAGACGAAGTCTGTTTTACCTGCGGCGGAACATGTGTAGCACATCCGCGCCGCCGCAAATTATTAATTAATCCTTGCTTTGTTCCGAATGTCCGCGAATAAATCCCGTTTGTATCGGCTGTTTGCGAGCGGCGTGCGGCGCCGCCACCGGGCGCCCAACACCGCGCTGCCCATCCGGGGTCTGCACGCACACCACCTCAGAACGCCGCGAAGTCGGGCGGGCGCGGCGGCTGGCGTCCGGTCGGCGGGCGCGCGGGCGCCCGTCAGTCGGCCGGCGCGATGGCGGCCCGTACCTGCGGGAACAGGTGGCTAGCGTCCGGTCGGCGAGCGGGCGCGCGTCCGTCAGTCGGCCGGCGCGATGGCGGCCCGTACCTGCGGGAACAGGTGGCCGAGCGTGGCCATGTTGTTCTGCAGCACGAGCAGCAGGCGGGCCGTGAAGCGCGCCTCCAGCGGCGGGAACGAGCGGCTCGCCACGCCGGCCGCGTCGTGCGTGAAGGCCGCCGGCGACGGCACCGTCTCGCGCATGTACGCCCAGACGTCTGTCAGCAGCAGGTACACCTGGCGGCGGCCCAGGGAGGCACGCGTCAGAGGTGGCAGTACGCGTCAGAGGGACTGGTGGAGGACGCGTCAGAGGAGACTGGTGGAGGTACGCGTCAGAGGAGGCCGGTGGAGGCGCGTCAGAGGAGACTGGTGGAGGGCACGTCAGAAGAGGCCGGTGGAGGACACATCAGACCGGGTCCCATCTCAATATCTACCACGAGGCTTATGGCTTCTATCATCAGGTCAACCCGTCGGAGGCTGATAAACCAGACTGTGGACCTAACCAGAAAAGGCTTCACCCATACACGATTAAAATGCCAATGAGTCCCGAGTGCGGGAAGACTGGCGAGCGATCGCGGACGTCATATCCACCTGCCATGACGTCACACCCCTCGCCGTGGGTTACGCCGGCCCCGTGTGACGTCAGACCCACCTCGTGCGAGGTCAGCGTGGCCAGCATCTCGGGGATGAGCGTGAGCGGCGGAGGCAGCAGCTGGCCCAGCGCCATCACGTGCAGCAGCCGCTCGGTCACGTCCAGCGGGCCGGCGCTGTTGCAGGCCTGCGTCTCCTGCAACCGGCCCACACCGGCCGTCTCAGCACCGCGCTGCTCCTCTCGCCGCAGAATCAGGTCACGTACATACACAGTCGTGACGTCACATGCACACAGTCGTGACGTCATACGCACACGTTCGTAACGCCACACGCACACGTTCGTGACGTCACGCGCACACCGTCGTGACGTCACTGCACACGTTAGTGACGTCGCAGCACGCGTTTACAAGTGAAGATGTCCGTGTCGGACTGGGACTGGTGCGGACGAATGGCGCAAACGTGTTGTACGAACATTTTGCATTACTTGTAGCGGTTTCAGTAACTATGAACGAAGTGGCTGACAGGGCGAGCAGAAGTCATCCAACGACAAATTAATCTGCCCGCTAGGACGACAATGTGAGCATGCTGGTGATAGCTTGCAGCTTGACCATATCGCCAGAAATGCAGGCTTACTTTGCAGGAGACCCCCGTTTACGTGACTAACCGTAGTGGAGGACCAATGTTGGATGAGCGTGGCGGCAAGCGCGCGCAGCAGCACGGAGCAGTAGCAGATGGCGGGCGGCCGGCGCGCCACCAGCTCCAGCAGGCACCAGCTGACCGGGTGGTGATCGAAGAAGCGGCGCATCTCCAGGTCCCGCTCCATGGTCACCTGGCGCGCGACCCGGCCACTCGTCAGAGGCGCCGCCCGCGGCGGACGGCCGGCCGTTGGAACACGTGCGGGACGCGGCTCATAATCAAGGGGGATGAACTCGACTCCCGCGCCGCCAGTCGGAGCCACATGCAAAAGGCCAGGCTACACTACGCGCCGCAGTATGTGGGGAACGAGTGGGTTTCGCGTTCACCGCTCAGAGGAAGGTAGGGGCATGGTGACGAACAGGGATGGAGACGACACGGGGCGGTAAGCCATCGTTAAGACAATGCAATTCATGCTCGGACATATAACTCAAGGCAGATGCCCAGCGGCTGCCTCCATCGACTTCAAACACGGTTTCACCACCCACAACCCAAGCCAGCAATGGCGCGCCGAGGAGAGTATGGGATGACCGGCGGTAACGTGCTGCTGCTGGCAGCCCTGCTACCGACTGCCACGCCAGTGATGCTGATATGTGGCCCGGGCCCGCGGCTCGGGGCGCCGGTGGTGTAGTGGTTCACTCGTCTGCGTTAACCACTGCGCGTCTGGGAAACCAGAGGTATGGGGTTTGGCACCCCGCGGTTCCCGCCCTTCCTGCCAGAGTGAGAGGTAGGCAACGCCAGATAGCCTCAGCAGCTGAGTGCGTCGTAAAGCCCCAATGACACACACAGGGACCGCGGCTCGCCCACCTTCATAAACTCCTCATCTGGCCAGGGAAGGCCGTTGAACATGACGTCAGGGGAGATGAACTCCACAAGCAGCAGCGCGAGCGTGCGCGCGCCGTCCTCGGGCGCGCGCGCCGCCGCCACACAGCGCGCCACCGTCTCCACCAGCAGCTCGCAGTTGAGCCGGGCGGCGGCCGGCGGCAGCAGGGCGGCAGCCGGCCCGGGCCGGCGCCCGGCGCCGATCACACCCGCGTGGAAGACCGTGGTGTGCGCCTGCGGCACGGTCACCAGCCGCGAGAGACGCCGGTTCTCCTGCAGCAGGGGGCGGGCGGCTGGCCCAGGCGCCGGCCGGCCGCCCGCCGCCCCCAAGTACGACGCCTGGTGCGGCTGCAGCGCCGCGTGCAGCAACGCACGCAGCACGGCCGGCAGGCAGACGGGCTGCGCCGCCAGCCGCGCCAGCAGCTGCTGCGCCAGCCGCGCGCGTCGCAGCATCACCGCCGGCCGGTCGCCGCGACGCATGCAGTAAAAGAGATAGCCGACCACGCTGTCGGCCAGCGCCAGCTGCCGGCTGCCGGCCAGCGAATCGGGCAGCTCCAGCAGCGCCAGCGCCTCGACGGCGGCGTCGGCGGTGCGCAGCTCGGTCATCCGCTCGGCCAGCAGCGGCGCGCAGGCGGCGACGGCTTGCGACAGCGGCGTCTGCAGGCCGGCGGCGGCGGCCGGCGGCCGGCGTCGCTCCCAGCGCAGCAGCCGCACCACCGAGCGCAGCACCTGCTCGGGCGCCGCGCTCTCGGCGGACGCGTGCCGGATCGCCTCCTCCAGCACCGACGCGAAGTTGCTCTCGAGCGCGCGCAGCAGGCGCAGCAGGGTGGCCAGCCGCAGCTGGGGCCGCTCCAGCAGGCGGCCCAGTGTGTGCGCCGCCGCCGACGCGCCGCGACTCGTGGCCGCCGTGGCCAGCAACTGGACGCAGCGGCGCGCGCGCTGGTCGTCGGCGCCCAGATGGGCGGCCAGCTGGGGCAGCGCGTCCGGCAGGGCGACCAGCAGCGGCACGTCCGGCGCCGAGCCCGGCTGACAGCCGAGCACCAGCCGCTGCAGCTCCGAGAGCACCCGCTCTGTCGGCACGCACGCACACAGCGGGGGCAGACAGTGAGTGTAGGAGGCGGCGCACTGTCGGCCCTACACCACTGTATGGACACCGTCAGTACCGCTGTCACGCACTGTCGGCCCCACACCACTGCATGGACACTGTCAGCAACGCTGTCACGCACTGTCGGCCCCACACCACAGCACGGACATCGTCACTACCGCCGTTACGCACCGCCGTGCGAGACAGCAGACACGCACGACAGCACAAGTTTTAAACATGGTACGGGTGAGAGCAAACACGCAGACTAACAAAGCCCCGACCACAGACTTGCCTAAAGCATACTAAGGTGGACGGGCAGGGCTTCCACGGCGCAGGTTGGTTACAAGTTGCAACAACGATCTACAAACAAGAAATGGGTGCCCCAAGTCATCATGAGTCACATCTCTGCCTCCACGGCACCTCAATGTCACTGCAACCTCACACATCGCAGGTATGCGATCCCTCCAGTTTGGTGGATGCCTGCTCTGAGGCAGGGTCGCGTCGGTCAGACTCACCAAGCAGGTGTTCGGCGGCGCGGCGCACGTCGTCGCCGTGCGTCGAGTCCGGATCGGCGGCGCGCAGCAGCAGCTGGAGCGCGGCGAGCGCGCCTCGCTCGCAGCGCAGCACCAGGTGGACGGTGAGCGAGAGCAGTGCCTCGGCGGTGGCGAAGTAGCGCGGGATCCAGCCGGGCACCTGGGCGGCGACCGCGGCCAGCTGCGCCACCGTCACTGCGGCAGGCAGGCCGTCACGTCACCGTTACGTCACCCGTCACGAGGCCGCGTCACCGGCCGCCGACGGTGACGTCGCGGGCGGGAAACGATCAAGACGCTCGTCGCTGGATGTTTGATCAGATCTACGCCAAGAAAGCTATAACATAATGGACATATAAGATGGGATGATACGACATATAACATGAGCACCCCCAGGAAGGAGGCAATGCTCCCACAGAGAGCCGACCGAAGTTAGTGAGCCGAAGGACATCCCGTAACCAAGGCGACAGCCGCGAGGGTGCCGTTCACCGACACGGCGGCGGGCCTCACCCGTGCGGAGGATCTCCGTGGAGAGCGTGTCCAGCAGCAGCGGCGACAGCCCGGCCAGCTGCAGGAGGAACGGCACCGTGGCCAGCCGCACCTCGTCCGGCGGGCCAGCCGGCGCGGCCGACGGCGACGGGCCCAAGCTCTGCTGCCGGACGCGGGGGACGCGGCGTCAGCGGCGGACGGCGCAGCAGCGGCGACGGCGGTGGCGGCGGCGACGGCACACCACACTGGGCCACTGCTGACGCCGCGCCACGGGGCAGACTCATCGCGACACGGGCCCACACGGCTTCACAGAGCTCATCACACTGCGACACGGACTAACGCAAAGTGATGGCCAGCGCGAACAGGAACGGGCTTTCACAACGCTGCCGCGATCTTACTACCGTCATTCTTATCAACTAACAGTTAAAAGATCTGTTGAAGCATTTTGCGGCCGACGCTAACAACTACATTCGCAAACACTGCAGCCTGACAACATACACAGGGTGTGCATCGGCAGTCGATAACTTAACGGTGCCTCTGAACGCGGTATGGTGCGACAATCGGGCGAACGCGGAGTGCGGTGCTACACACGCGCGGTCCCCGGCATTTCTACCTGGATCAAGGCCTTGAGGGCGTCGCAGATTTCAGCCGAGTTTCTGGCGGCGAGATGCCCCAGGATCTGCACGACCGAGCTCCGCTTTCCCGGAGTGCCCCCTGAGGCAGCGTGCAGCAGGTCAGCTCAGCTAGAGCTGGCGTGAGCCAGAGTGTCTCACATCCCAGGCCCGCTGCCCGGACAGCGAGGTCACGACCAGGACAGTCACGCAGATCGCAGTGACATCACGCTGATCCCCGTGACGTCGCCCTGCCACCAGCTGCTGATGGAAGCAGCGCCTGCTGCACGTCCTGTAGCCTTCACACTGGCTTTTGCTACGCCCAGCACCCACAAGCTAAATACAATACGTCTTCGCCGCTACGCTGAAGCGCAGCGGGAGCGAGGCTGCTCACGCGGCGCCGTCTCCCGCTGCACAACACGGCCGCTGACCGCGACAGCGCCGCCGCCGGCCGCTGCCGAGGCCCCGGCAGAGCCTGGCGAGACTGGCCGGCGCCGGGGCCGCCCAGCGCGGGCGGCGTCTGCTCACCGGGCGCCGCCGCCTGCTGGGCGCAGAACTCGCGCAGTCCCACGCTCAGCACGCGCTCGATGATGGTGCTGGGGAAGCAAGAGCCGATGTGCGCCACCACCCAGTCGAAGTGCGGCGTGTACGCTGCCGACGTGTCTGCGGCGGACGCGGCGCGGTCAGTCGCCTGTTCAGGCCGCGGGGAAGGGGGGGGGAGGGGGGGGGGGTGGAGGCGGCATCGAGTGTAAGTACGCACACATGACCAGACTCAGTCGAACACACCAGCCGCGCTCATTACACTGAACACGCGGCCCAGGTTTTGCTTTGGGTATGACCCATGAAATCTGGCTGTGATATTGTAAACACCATGACGGAGAGGCATCAAATGGCTGACGAACATCACTGCTGAACAAACCACGACCGCCGGCAAGGTAACTTAGTCAACCCTCAACTTAACCCATAATATATATTTAACAACACTTTATTAAACACACAGGCGCCCTCAGGCGGCCACGTAACTTCTCCAGAGTACGTTTCTAGCCACCAGCCGCACACGTGTCCCCTGGGGAGGAGGACATGTGTAGAGTGGGGGGAGGGGGGGGGGTCTGTGTGGAGTGTGTGTGTGGGGGGGGGGGGGGGCACATCCCCGCCGACGGCGCGGCGCTGGCCGGGACTGACCGAGCAGCGGCTTGATGCAGACGTCCGTGTCGTGACGCACGCACAGCACGGTCACGTGGATGAGCGCGCGCGTGGCCGGGCAGCACAGCCACAGCTGCACCAGGTCGTTCAGGCCGGCCGAGTGCGGCACGTGCGCGCGCGCCGAGTACCGGGACGACAGGCGACCTGGCCGCGAGTCGGGCGTCAGTGCGGGCTCGACGGCGCCGCTCACACGTGGAAGCAGCCGAGACGGCCCACGCCACGTCGGGACCGGAGCGGCAGGCCACCGGCGCACGTCAACAACAGACGTCCGTCGGCGTGGCAGGATTATACCAACAGACAGGGACTCCGGGCTCGGATACGCAGTACCGGGCTTCTGGACGGCGATGTGTCCAAGAGGCCCCAGAATCACGCCAGCGATCCAGTTCGCCACGTTCGAGCTGAGCCCACCGGCCAGGTTACCTGCTACCTCCAGGCATATTCAACACGCCACCTTCGAGCTGCGCCCACCGGCCAGGTTACCTGCTACCTCCAGGCATATTCACCAGCTGCTGCTACCCGAGCGGCCCAGCGGCCAGCGCGGTCTACTGGCCCGCCTAGCGCCGGCCAGCCGCTGTCGTCGGTGCGCTTCGCGGGCGGAGGGGCGGCGTCCGCACACGTGCCGTACCGAGCAGTTCGAGCGACCAGGCCGAGATGACAGGCGCCCAGGTGTGCGGGTTGGCCTCCAGCAGGCCGGACAGCGCCTGACTGATCTCGCCCACCAACTCGTCCTCGCCGGCCGCCGCCGCGCTCTCCGGCACGTCACCCTCCTGCCGCAAAGCACGCGCCCGACTCTCGTGATGGCGACACAGTCGGCAGTGGCGGCAGCGACGGCAGCGACGTAATCGTCGCTGATGGAGACGCCGAACACAGCAACTTCTTATCCAATGACTAGGCACGTGTTCAAGCTTGAGCCATGCGGATGCAAGCTAGGAGCAAATCCGGTGTTACGAGTTCGTTACTAACGCATGGCTTACGAAACAAAGGAAGCTCAATGTCCATAGTCAGAGGCCTAGTCGGTGTCAAAACGGACCCCAACGGACACAGCCAGACGCGCGCCACGCTTGTTCCCATCATCAGACGCGGAATACCACCACGTCCGCTGGCCAGCACCTACCTCCAGTTTGGCGACGAACTGAGCCGTGCAGCCGTCCAGCACCGAGCTGAGGTACTCA